TGAAAAGAATTTAGTTCGTCGTTTCGGGCCCCTTGCATGTCCCATGGTACCTGTCAGCCATGACCATGGAATCTGTTTTCGCTCGAAACGTTATTTTGTTTAATGGAACAAAAATATACGCGATTTACGTCCGAAAATTACTTTTTTATAAAAAAAAACAACTAATTAGCTTGAGGACTTACATCTATTTGCCAAGTTTTGTTAAAATCAGTTAACGGAAAGTGAGTGAAGTTCATTAAACCGGATTCATCCCCTAGTTTGGCACTCTTAGAGGTGGAATATTTAAACGGGACCAATAAATACTGAGGTACCCTCTGTCCAACAAAAAAATCTGTTCACAAATGCTAGAGTAATCGCCTACGCACACAAAAAATACAACCGAATTGAGAAACTCCCCCTTTTTTTAAGTCGGTTAAAAATATATAACTACTTAGTATTAAAAGCATCATAATATTCAATAAAATAAATACTACTACTGTCTGTAGTTTGCCATCGGCAGCGGAAAGCGGAACACGACAAGTCAAAAATACAACCCTACTAAAACTTTACAATGTTTAAATGTTATGATGATGGCTAGTTACACATAGATATACATTTCTGTATAATGTAAACAGATACTACGAAGTTTACTGCTTATCGACGCAATTAACTTCTCGGTATACAAAACACATCGTTGACAATGACAACGATATAGTCAATGTGACTTTTGAGACATATTTATTATTTATTAAAATACAATATAAATCCAACGCTCAAAGGAAATGTAGCATTTATTACTGGTCTCCCACCGAATTACAAGGGTAGCTTTATTATAAAATTACTTTTTATTGATTTCACACTTCAAAAGCAATACATTTCCCAATAAAAATCTCACAAATAACGTTCATTATTATTAAGGTGTGAAGTCTTGGACAAAGTTAGTCTTTTTATAGCGATATCCATTTTATTTTAAAATGTGTAAGTAGTTAGTTGGCTCTCGTTATTTAGTCTCTTGGCATCAACAGGTAGAAGAACACAACAACTAAAAGAACTCGAATGTTTAATTAATTGAATATCCCACGTTGTTAAGGTTCCAATCCAGTACGGCACCAATTCATTTGTCTACATTCATAGATGGATGAGTTTCTCTTGTTAGTACGGTTCGTTGGTGTGATTGATGATATGCCACCTTGGGTTATAAATGTAGTTTGATGAATGCGACCTTAAAAACCTGCCCGAGTCACCAATTCCGCCTAAAACTTCTGTAATAACTATCATAATATCCAGTGTATTACAATTTACCTATGCCCGTATACTTGTTATGGATTACGTCAAATTATGACAGCGTCTCCAAAAATATTATAATAATTCATAATTCTAAAGCAACTGCTGCAAATGTGTGAATATTACCGTATAATCATAACAATTTTAAAAATGCGTGGGGAAACGCCTGGAGCCTTAGACCACCTGCTCAAGTGTTAATAACAAATCAACACCGACTTTCTAATAGAAGAATTGCTTTATAAGGATTGAAATCAAAGTGCATTGCCCTTTGGCAGTAACTCATATTTATAATCGGGTACAGCGCTTTAGGCAAAATGAAGCTATACTATTTTGTTTATATTACACGTACTTTTAAGTCGAATGGTTTACCTTTGCGGTATTATAGGGGTAATTTATACATGAACTATGTGGGTAGATGCGAATCACGGGTCGTTCACCCTTAACGTGGGTGAAGTCTAGCACCAAGTTTCGCTTTATGGAAACGATGTGATTTTCTTTATGGGAATAAGATTCTATCGACATGACAAACGCAGGAAATTATGATGATGAAAGAGGAAGAAAACTGTTATCTGATGTCTACTTTCTCATTCTGATTATGTTTGTTTACAATGTGTTAAAATAGTTTTCAACGACAATATTGTAGATTCAAGTAACGGTGTGTAAGAACGATCGTGGAAGTCATTTTCTGGAACAGTGCAGATTGCTGTGCGCGTTCCCTAGCAAACTTGAACGTTTGACTAGAAAGCAATGCGTGTCGCTTGTGTCACGGTAAAATGAAGAAAACGTGTCGTCGAAAGGAAAGTAGTGGCATTATATTTGCTAGTTTAGGTACCCTATGCTACAGCAAATGCAAATTGCCTGTACATTGCCTGTAGTATGCTAATGCGTCGGATCTAGGGCACTTCCGTCGAGGAAGCGCTGATAAACTTGGAAATTGTGACACTCTTGCTAAATGGAACATTTTGCAAATTTAAAAACCCCATAATTTGTTAGTAATAACTCTTCTGTATTGTTTGGTAAGCTCTAGATTAAAACATCAACACAAACCACGTAATACACTGGTATGACATAGATACAGTTGATGCCCTAAGGTACCCGAGCCCTTAGCCGACCTTTTGGTTCTGAGAGTCGTCTTAGGCATTCAACAGAAAAAAGGAATTCCAGCTTTTTGGTTAAATTTGTATCTGTGTAATGTAATTAGAGATCCAATTAGCTTAAAAAGCCTCTTAAATTCATCATTCACTAATTATACAAATTCCTTTTGATATGATTTAACAAAAGGAATTTTACGGTTCTCAGGTTAGAATTTAAGTATGTTTAACACATTTTTTTCACATCTTATGTATTTTGGATATTGACTGCACTCGACAACATTAGCATACGAAGAAAATATCGCTTCAGACGATACACATCTGTATTTGAATAATTATAACACAAGAAAATATTTCGAAAGCCGCCTTTAAGAAAGGCCATTTTGGCTTAGCCAATTTGATAAGATTGACACGCGAGTTGATTTTAATTAACAATAACACTATTAATTTTAGTATATAGAAATTGATACTTGCTACTTGCGGTTACGAAATCCAAGTTTTGCGCACGCGAAGTACATACGAGTAAGGTCACAGGCTAATTTACACATGCAATGCGGTGGTAAGCTGCGAAGCTGAAAATAAATGGCCTGGAAATTCCAGGCTGAACCAGATTCCTAAAGCAACAATCTCAAGAATCCTTAAAAAAATGCATTAAAATTGTCTAAACCTTTCGACGTTGACAATATTGCAAATGAGTTGGATAACACTTCGTTTAAAATTCAAAAGTTGAATGGGAGACGGACGTGTGTCGTGTGCCGTGGACATGCTGCTGTTAATGCTAGTTTCGCTATGAATATCAAGCACATAGAACAATCATTGCCGGTACGAATTATCGATAGAATGTCTTGTTTGCAAAATGGAGAAAGTATCTATAGTCAAGATAAGATCCATAATAGATTTTTTAAATATCTTAATTAGGATTACTATTATATCGTCACAAATAAGAAATAACTAAATCAAATGCAATATATAATTTGCACCTAACACTATTATGATAATTTCGGTCTGTTAATTTTATTGGTAACCACCACTTCGCAACGGAACTTAGTACTGCGATTCAGAATATCAATGCAAACGAAACAATAGAAATCGCAACACAATTAGGTATAGCTTCCCAAGCACATCATTTGCAGAAATGACTATATTGTTATAAAGGTTCTACATAAAATGCCATGTGGTGACCGCTAAATATTCTTAAAGGTGTATTCTGTTTAAGGTAAGCTGGCCTTAACATCTGCGCATACGCCTGCGGACGAATCACGACTAAATCAATGTAAATACCTGTCGTTTTTCGACCAATGATTATTGCCTTCGATAATAGCGCCGTCAGGTGCAACTTTGCATCTCTCTTCTTTTGTTTACAAAGTAGTTTGTACAGCAGTGACTTCCATTATTCAATATTTTATGATCCATTTGATTCATTCGGTTTCAAAATCGAGACCACCTCTCGCCAAGGAATTGTTCTCGTTAAAATTGTTATTTCTCCGACATCGTGGCATTTGGGTCACCTGGATCGGCTCCAAAAGAATGTTTGAAACGCAATGAATATAAGTTTACAGTCGGATGGAATATAAGTTTAAAGTTGCAATTTAAAAGATTGTTACGATGTTGTTTTGTTTATTTGTCAAATTTAGACTTCTCGTTAATAGAAGATACTGAACACAGGAATGCTAATGATTCATTTCTAATCACAATGAGCTAATGAGCGTTAAAAAAGTAAAAGAAAACAAATAAAGAGAAATAAGCACTGTATTGTTAAATTCCCATAACGTTACAAAAGAACGACAAAACAACAAGTTTCTTATCCTCAAAACAATAGGGAGATGTGAGAGAATTTTGCTATTATTTTATGACAAGCTCTGGGAAAGAACATAAATGTACGAGACCGTGGCGAGGGGCGATGGGGAATCTAAAGATGTTTTACGACTATTCAAACGGACTGTATCTTTTTTTATAATATTTTTGCTTATATGTATGAAGAACAAAATATAAGGAATGACCTTTCATAAAGAAATTAACATGTCATACTCGCTTTATCAGTTTTATTTCAATATCGCGCAACGCGGTTAACTAGGCCGACCGGTTGCCGAATAAACAATCTGTCATAAGCAGGCGTTTGTAATTTTTCATAGGTTAACCTATTATATATATTGATTTGGTGACATCTGGCTGGGCGTGCAAAAATGGATGTTAGGTAAAATAATGAAATAATAGTACGTATAAACTACAATCGCGTGCCTTATTTGTGTATTAACGTAGTGGCATCGAAACAACGCAGGAAAAGGACGGGGGACCGATGCGTCATCGGCGCCTCCCTCCAAAGCGCACCCCCTGCACACCCTTGCTCGACTCACGGATCGATCCTGTGACCACCAACGCCATGCGCAAAGTCCGCCCCTTTTGTTTATATAGTTTTCTACGACGCTTTTCTTCACAGAATTATGATACCGAAATACACGCTATTTAGAAACGAATTATAATGTTATCACACTTTCGACTGCACATTTATGATATCAGAAAGTTTACCTAACTTGCAAAGATAGGGAAGCATTTTAGAATTGCTAACATAGCAGTGACACAATGAATGGTACGATATGTGCTCTAATATACTATTGTTTACATTTATTAGATGTTTATTATACTCACTGGCACTCGTTCATTATTTCTTCCTGCGAGCGAACTTGAACCGGTGCGAGCTTCTCTACGCTTTCCTCGTAGTTTCCAAAGCACTTCGTGATCTTCTCGTCGAATGTGTTTACCAGATCCTCCAAAGATCCGGAGAAAGTCTCCGTGAAATTGTCACCTTCTCCATTTTGCACGTTATCCTGTTTACACTTCACCGGTTTGGGTTCGTCATTATCGTTTATTTTGTTGGAATCGATTTTCATTTTGATCATTTCACGTTTGAGATTGTTTATGTTATTGAGGTGGATGTCGTTGCCATTTATCGTTTTTTGTGGGTAATCCGCAGTGGAGAAGCAATCGTCAGCTTCTTCGATTTGCGCGAGAGGCGCTTCGAACTGGAGCTCGGCCATCCTCCCAGTCGCTTCTCGCATGACCACACGACTGTCCGCGACGTTTGCCGCGCGAACACTGCCTCCCCCTACCGATCAGCCCGGCCACTGAGTCGTCGTCTCGCGAGTCTACGATACTATAGCAAAATTAAATACACGAGCGATTCACCATCCCATACTTTATTATGCGAACATGGCGTGAACCTAGAAGACAACAAAAAAGCTGCGTATCGCATAAATGTCATTTAAACATTTCATGTATGGTTTTGATTGCTCAATCAATGGTTTTTCTTCTTCTCACCTTACTTATACAAAGATAGGTTAGAGTTCGGGTAAAAATTAAAATCGTACACCATAACAGGATAATTGAGTGGAGCTGATAAATAATATGAAATAATGCACTTAAGACTGCCAATAGAGGGACTGCACTTCTCTAGTTAATGTGTGCAGTTGTGATCAACTGCAATAACTGCATGCAGGCGAGATGTCACCTGTATTTATTTTTAACGCACACGTTCAACATAGCCCCGCAATAGGGAAACCCTGTGCCGCGGGTGCTATGGACACACAAACAACAAATTACACCCAAACTGACGAGATAAATAAATATAGGCCATACAAATATTTCTCCCGGACCGGGAATCGAATTTGGGACCTCTGCGTGGCAGTCCGGCATGGTAACCGTTCGACCACGGAGGCAGTGTAAAAGTAGTCGAGATTTCAATAGCAAGCGTCTGATGCAGTCGATATATAGTATGTTTTTATAGTAACTGCAAAAGGTAACGATTCGTTAAAGGTTTAATCAACTTAATGGTAAAACAAATAAACAATTGGTGAAATTCGATGGATTTATGTAATTTGCACAATTCTTTTTTTTTGTGTAATGGCCTTTGTTTACATTTTTGATCGCGATTTCTACTGTAGAGTATACAGGTAGTCGGAGTTTTTATCTTTATTTAGGAACTTTTGTTACAATACATGTACGGACAACGGCACATCATACTACACATTTTTGTTCTAAAATCGCCTCCAGTGCAACGGAACAAGATACGTCAATGTATAGCTTGATGTGCTGGCGTGTACATGTCAATTCCAACGTATCCTAAACTATAGCTTACATGTCTCGGCGGCGCTGCTGGAGGGCCGATTCATCAAATAGTAACAGTCTTTTTGCCTGTTTCGTGTGTGGATAGCTTAGTATACAAGTAAAGTTATTATGTGGATGTTCGATTGATCTGCAGGTCCCTCATCAACGCCGCCTTCTGTTGCTCGTACCGGACACATTCCAGTAGCAAGTGATATGGTTCTTCCACTACTCCACATAACTCGCAATTAGGACATAATAGTTTGTTTCTCTAATAAAACGTAAAGTTAGCGTTTAGAATCAATTGTTCTGAGAGTGATAAACTACAAGTAACATCTTTCATTTCGACATCAACATATACATTGAGCTCTTGAAATAGACGCGCGGCGATAACTGGTAGTCTTGTAGCAGCCTTATTATAATCCCATGTTATATAAATCTTTTATTTTTAGTTTCTAAAATAACAATCTCAGTACAGAGTACTAAAAAACCGACCTCAAAAATTCGCGGAATTAGGTACATCTATTTGCCAAGTTTTATTGAAATTGGTTATCGAAAAGTGCGCGAAATCGGATTCATCCCCTAGTTTGGCACCCTTAGAGGTGGAATATTTTCTTCAAATTTAAATGGAACCAACACTGAGGTAACATCTTTCCAACAAAAAAGAATCATCAAAATCGGTTCACAAATTATCCGGAGTTATAGCGAACATAATTATGTACAAAAAAAACCACTGCCAGTTTAAGCGCCTTGGTTGACTAAAAATTAAACATACTTAGTTCCTCTTTTCTTTATTATCCTTTCCATAAATCCTCGACTATAACAATAATAGAGGAGAGCGCAGAATGCCTCGAAATTTTGTTGTAGTTTAAAAAAAATAAAAGGTCCGTGACTGTGATGAATCTAAAATACAAAAGAATAAAATAATGAGCGAAAGCTACGCTGGTGAGCTCCAAATTTGTCTTATTCAGGTTGATTACTTTGGTTTGAGGGAAATGAGTGCGACCAAATTAAATATGGTGATAATAATATGGTAATACGGTGGTAACACTCCTGAGAATATACAATTTTTGTACCGGGGAGTAGTACATTGTTTGACCAGAGAGCGGCCACGGAAAATATATTATTACAACGAGTCGTGCCCAAAGATACATGGTACATACGTTTTAATATCCTAAATAAAAACTAAAAACTCTAGTGACCCAATTTTGTGGTTTTGGAGAAAACTCTTTAAAGTTTTTCCATAATAATACAATACAAATATTCTCTTTATTGCACACTGGTACAAATACGTAACAATACAAAAAAATCGCGTATATTTGTTTTTTCAAACAAACCGACGTTTCGGGTCCTTTACAGGTCACGGTTGACTGAGGTGGTACAGTCTTCAACCAGTTAAAAGCAATTAAAATCCGGAAAAATAGTTTCATTTCCTATGTGTAACAATCGCGAAAACCTAAAAACTTGATAAATACAAAAAAAATTAAATAAAAAAAAAACAGATACAGTGGGCGACCTTATTATTCCTAGACTGCAATCTCTTCCAGGAAATCTTCGGGTTACAGGAAAAACTATCAGATAATAATTAATTGAGGGCGCAACAGAAATTAACATAATACGTATTTAACACACATGACGCACTAACACAAATGAAAATAATAATAATCATACTTATAGTCCAAAAACTAAATAATATATATAAAGTAGGCGTAAATATGCCTACCATTTTCACACAAAAATAAAATTGTTTGCTTTAAAATTACGGTAATAATAAAATCTTGATTGATTCATTTATTCCTAACATCAAAGCCAATTACAAAACTTCTTGTTAATAAATTTTGTTATGTGGCTAGTAGAAAAGTTACATTTCCTGCGCTCGGGCGGAAAAGTAAACACTGCTCGCACCCTATAGAAAGCACAGGTTTTCGAGTAACTGTATTGAAAAATAATGAAGAATACTGTTTCACCAGTTAGTGTTGCTTCATATGGTAGCAGCATCAGGGCACCTACCGTGAGTTTCCAGTTTCTTGATACGTTTTGGCTACCCATAAAGGCAAACAGAGCTCCATTTACCAGACTTCGACTATTGCTTTCCGTTCAATATCATCTTCACACTAACCATCTCTTATCAGTAACATACTACCCACTTTCACTTTTGTACCCTCTCGCTACCAATCTTGTCCCCATTTTTCCATTTTTATCCGTTTCAATTACTATCCCCTTCGTTTTACTCACATTCGCCTTCATTCCTTTTCTTTCACATTGAAATAAACCAATTAGGCCCTAATTATAGCATTTAATATCTCGGAAGGTGCGCCATTAGCCAAATTAATATTTTAACAGTAAAAGTTTCCCTAATTCTGATCGCCCAATCCTCAGTTTCAGAATTTATATCACTTTCCAATCTGTCCTTATGAAAATTTAAAGTATTTGCATTTTTCAAAAAAGCTGTAAAATTAGTTATGCGTACTTAAACTAAATTGTTTCAAATCACGTTGAAAGATATGTGCTAATTCACATTTATGGTTTAACCACATTTTCGCGAAATTAACTTGTGAGACGAACCAGGATTCGTGAAAACAATTTTTTGATTTAACATTATATATGATGATTATATATGAGTGAAAAGAATAGGAATGTTATAAGGTATAAGATTGCATTCATAACTCACGATTTTCTGTGGGTTAAGTCATTTATGCAGAACTCGGCATTAATATTAGATATTATTAATTATATTTTCGTCAGTCATTTTCAGTATTAAAATTGAAATATTTAGTTCTTCGGATACTTAATACTTCCAATTATATTTCCTCTATTCTCTAAATGGAGCAGTTGTATGTATTTCTCTTTTGATGTATTAACCTTACTTTTTTCAAATAGACATTACAACTTACTCAACTAGGTACTACATTGTATTTCATTATTAACCGGTTTAAAAAAAAAAGGAGGAGGTTCTCAATTCGATGATTATTTGTTGTTGGAAAGATGGTACCTCAGTATTGGTTCCATTCAAATTTGAAGAAAATTTTCCACCTCTAAGAGTGGTGAACTAGGGGATGAATCCGGTTTCGCCCACTTTCCGGTAACCGATCTCGGGGTTTTTTTTATAAAAAGTTACAGTTATTACTGGTAACCTTGTCATATTGTGTGGCAAATTTAAGGTTAACGAACTATTATCAATTGTAGGAGTACTGATGGGTAATTTTCGTAAAAATTCCCGGAAAATTGGAAAAATATAATTTCGAAGGCCTACAAGACTTCACAAGTTTTATTTCGCGTGATTTATAAAATAAAATTATAATTTATATCTAAAAGCCTCAAAAACTAGATTTAAAATGATTTCACAACAGCGACAAATAACCTATATTGACTCCAACGTTTTCGTTCTGTAACTTCAACTTTTGACAGGTATCAACATCAAATGTGGAAAATTATTGGATAATAATCCGGAATTTTTTTTTAAAATGATTTTTTCAAAATGGAAATTTTTCCATGACCCAGCACTGAAGTGACATTTGACAGGTCCGTAAAAAACAATGGCAAAATCATATGCCGCATTCTCACATTCGTGCGAGTGGCGATGCGAATAGCGATGCGATAATGATATACCAGTAGACAAAATAATTTCCTCTGAACTTTCGTCACGTCACAAACCCACGGCACCATTCAGCTTCTATTAACACTGTTTAAGGCTTCTGTAGTTTATTTTTAACCGACTTCAAAAAAGGAGGAGGCTCTCAATTCCACTGTATGTTTTTTTTGTATGTATGTTACGCGATAACTCCGCCATTTGTGAACCGGTTTTGATGATTGTTTTTTTTGTTGGAAAGAGGGTACCTTCATAGTGGTCCCTTTTAATTTTGAAGATAATCGTCCGCCTCTAAGGGTGGCTGTTCACCCATGAACATTCATTTTTATAAATAGCGTCTAAATTTTAATATAATGAGCAATTATTTTAATGGTTTGTTTTGCTATTCTCCAATTTAAGGCGTTTTTCGCTCAGTATACTTTGAGTAGTGAGAACCGATTTTTATTATCTCCGGGTCAAGTTCCGTATAGTGGCGAACTAGGGGATGAATCCGGGTTTGCGCACTTTCCGGTAACCGATTTTAATAAAACTTGGCAAATAGATGTAATTCCACATACTTTTGAGGTCGGTTTTTTTTTTTTTTTTTTTTTTTACTCTGTACTGAAATTATGATATGATAATACACCGGATATATTTTCACATTCACCTTTCAAATCTTAAAGAATGGAAAAAAGAAATAGTCTAAGCTTTACATCCTGGGGTACCTCTTTGAATAATTGTTTTATTATTATATGTATGCATGTATGTGTAGTATTTCACTTCATTAATTTTTTTTATAATATTTCAACAATGTCATTTTTATTTCCGTTTTTTAGAGTTGGAAATGTAATTATGATTGTATATTTGTAAAGTGCCTCGTTTCTTCCGGCACCTGACACTGGCATAAAAGGTCGTTCATTCCAGAACGAACTGTTTGCCTAAGATTGGCCTTGGAAAAAATGACGGGTTTTTACATTGACTTATAATTATATGGACGTCGGGTCCGCGCTAAATAGTGTCCGCACTTGTAAGGCGCTAAAATCGTATACAGAGCGCCAAACTCCGCTTTAGTCTTCATTTGTTCGACTGACAGCGCGATACTGCGATGACATTACAATTTAAGTTTCGAATAGGTCGACTTGGGACATTTTTTTCGTGGTTTTTGTATTAGATCCGTCGTCCATTTATTTGTAAGTCAATGGGTTTTTAAAGTTACGAGTACAGTTTTTACAAAGATTATTTTAATTTTAAGTATATTATGAAGAAAAAACGAAGAAAGAAATAGTCATGAAGATGGTTAGAACTATATTCCTTATTTTAAACCAAATTACAAAAGAATTTATCCTGAAAATTCCACTAATTACGAATTCAAAGTTTTTGTTCAAAGTGATAGAAGATAACATGATTTAAGTGAAAGTAAAACATAAATATTGACACCCGCCGCTTAAAATACTATTTAAAAAACCCAAATAAGTGAACTAAGTTATTTGAGAAAATGAAAATATAATGTATTAGAATTAGAACTACAATGGAAAATATTACTGAGGATCCTGATAATTAAACGAAGACATGACTTAAAGCACTTATATCCAAGTCAAAACTATTAATAAAAAAAAGGTTTGCTTTTGAGGTGTTATACAGTTGACATTGACAGACAACTGCTTGGAGAAAATGGAAATTGCGGAAAAGCCATGAATATCAAGCAAAATCATTTTAGGGAAATTGGATAGGCAAATTCGCTATGTATAATTTAGTAAAACGTCACCCCGATCTTAAAATTATTAATGTCATTGTAAAATGTTACAGGTAAAACTTTTGTTTTGTTGAATAATTTAGCAAATATTTTGATCCATATTTTTGTTACATTATTGTGTTTATTTTCTTCTCAGTTTAAGTAGAAAAACTCACTATGAAGTATTGAATTTACGTCGAAATTGTACTGATAAGGAGATAAAAGAAGCCTATATACAAATGAGTAAAGAAGTAAGTTTATTTTTGGTTTTATTTACGCGGCACTGTAACTTGGGATTGGCGCCAGTACAAAATTAATGGAAATTTTGAAGTCTCAAGTTGTTCTATGAACCTACTCGTACAAATTGCATTTTGAGATCAAGTAAAATGGTTGCATAAATACCTATTTAATGCAAATGTTATTTAAAATGAACACTCTGATACTGAAATAATATAATAAAGAATACAATTAAACAAAATCTTTATTCCATTTAATACTTATATACTTTATCCGGTTTCCAGTTTCACCCAGACAAAAATAAAGACAAGAATGCACAGCAGAATTTTGTGAGGATTGTTGAAGCATACAACACACTTAGTAAGCCTGCCAGCCGTGCGCAGTATGACAGTTTAACTGAGTTAAATACAAGGCCTACCTATCCACATCATGCTTATGAAACATACAAGTATGTGTAATACTTTTTTCAACAATCACAGCAATCATCTGGTCTTGAATGAGACGAGAAATTCCCAGAATTATGGAAACCAGAGCAACAAAATTAATTCTGGTCCATCATCTGGAACACCTGGACTAAAACCTATTTCGATGAGATCATTTCCTAACTTGATTCTAACTAGAATCTAAACCGCTATGGTAACTGTTCAACAAGATGTTCATATTGCTATGGCAGTGTCCACATTTTTATTTGTAATATCAAGTGCCAGGACAAACAAGTTGGGCGGCTAGTATAACAGTTGCAGTGCCACTCAAGAGCTTTAAATCACAAAGATCTGAGGGGCACCGCCACTGTGCCTGTCACCTTAAGTTGACAAGTCCCATGTGGCAGTACTTCCCAGGACAAACTCTTTCACAACTTTTTTGTTAGTACAGTAGTAGTTTTAGTTAGTTAGTTTTAGTTTGTACTCTAATGGTAAACCTTAAAATGAATATAATTCCAGCCACAGAACAAACTACTACCAAAGGTATCAACATCAAGAGTACAAAGAACCTCCTAAGGATTACTACGGGGTGAGCGGCCTCAAGAAACTTCCCAACTACATCATCATCATGGTTTGCTTCGGCATAGCGCTTGTTGGTACTCTTTTGCAAGTTCTTGTTATTAGGTAAGGATTATGATTAAACACCACTTCATCACTGCTACAACCTCACTGAAATTGTATAATAGACTTGGTGACTTGTAACATCTGTGTCAACAACCAGTGCTCGTGATATAGAATTCATACTATAACTGATTATTCAATCAATTCCAAGACGGTGTAATTACTCTGTACAGTTGATGGCAAGTTTTTTATTAAGCATTATTACAACCAAAGGACCTTTTGTTGTATAGTGCCCTCATACTGAGATTAAAATTGGTAACAATTTGATTAATGTAACAATTTGCATTGCAGGGAGATGTACATCTCAAATAGACGAAAGTCTGCTGAGCAGAGCAAGTACTTGTCTGAAGAATTGGAAAAGGTGCGGGCAACAGCGAAGAGTAACACAAATGATGTAAGATTTTTTATATGAGAACATTCTCAGCATTGTCAGTGGTTTCTTACAAACTTTTAATCACATTCCTTAAGGTTTTCATAAATGTGTATTAATTGAAGATTTCTATTCAAGCATTGAAATCTATTTCCTAAATCTGATTTCTAAATTTTGATTGAAAATAAATTCTGATTGATTTGAAAATTAAAATCTGTTTTAGAAACTGTAGTTGTTTATGAGTGTGTGTAAAAGATAAAAGGGGTTAAACGACACTCAGGTTGGAATTGAGTTCTACTTAGATAGTAAAATTGTGGACTAAAGTTAAATGGTCCATCACTAGTAAAATTTTATGACAAAGTTGAACTGAGTCCAAAGTCATCACAATACTGATGGACATTGGTGGGTTTTAATTTCGACGCTGGGTATTGTATATAAAAGATAGAAATTCATACCAGCAGAAATAAACACCAAATGTAAAAAAACAGTTGTGCTTTAGTTAATGTGCCCAAGTTTAGTTTCTGAGTGGTTTAAGCAACTGTGTACATCATCTGCTTAAAGGTAAAACCACATAAGTGACATTTTCCTCAAATAATGTCTAAATTGTGTACCTGTTGTAAGAAAATCACAATTTTTCTGCACATTTTTTTTTTTTTTCTATATATATATATAATAGACACACGCTTGGCCACAATCTCACCTGATGTTAAGCGACGATGTGACCGACGATGGGACGCGTTTGCCTAAAAAATGCCTATTCACTCTAGCCTTGAATAGCCCCAAATTGTACTTTTCGGGAAATACAGATAGAGCCGGTAGAGCATTCCATTCCTTTGCCGTACGCATCAGAAAGGAGGAAGCAAAGCGCTTAGTGCGAATAGGTGGAATATCAACGACATAAGAATGGAGTGCTCCGGACCTTCTAGTCGACCGAAGAAGGAACGGTGAGGGCGGAACCAAATTGAAAAGTTCCTGCGCACACTCCCCGAAATGTATCCGATAGAAAACCGACAAGCAGGCTACTTTTCTGCGATGATCGAGATTTTGGAGCTTCGACTCCACAAGAGGATTATTGTTAATAAGTCTCTTTGCTTTACGCTCCACCGAGTCCAAGGCAGCTAACTGGTATTGGGCAGAGCCGTCCCAAAGGTGGCAGCAGTACTCCATACAGGATCGAACTTGTGCTTTATATAGATTTAAAAGCTGTTCAGGTGTGAAGTACCGCCTGACCTTGAAAAGTATGCCTAGTTTTCTGGCAGCAGTTTTTGCCAAGCACTCGATGTATCGCCCAAAGTTGAGGTTGGATGATAAGTCCAGACCAAGTAGCTCAAGGTGGTCCCTTATCGGCACGGATACACCTCGGAAAGTCGGAGTAAGGTGTAGGGGACTCCGTTTTGATGAGAAAGACACGCCTGTGTTTTAGCCGCATTAAACCTGACCCTGTTAGCATCTCCCCAGTCGGAAGCAGCTTTCAGACTCAGGTTCAACCGGGTGACCATCGCCTCTCGCTTACACCGGATCTCTTCACTGTTGTCTCGGGCGTCTGGCACATAACTCACCGCCACTGTGCAGTCGTCTGCATACCCAAAGATACCGGGCATCAGCAGCAGGTCGTTGATATGCAGCAAGAATAGAGTGGCGGAGAGGACAGATCCCTGAGGTACACCGGCATTTATACCATGAGGAGCAGACGAGTAACCATCTACAACTACACGGATTGACCTATCCTTCAGAAAATCGCCTATCCATGTGCAAAAGCCAACAGGAATTCCGTATGCTGGAAGCTTGTTTAACAGGCTATCATGCCAAACCCTATCAAAGGCCTTTGATATGTCGAGAGACACGGCAAGCGATTCACCGCGTTTCTCGACAACCTCGCTCCATAAATGTGTGGCGTACGCAAGAAGATCCCCAGTAGATCGTCCATGGCGAAAACCATATTGTCGATCACTGAGGAGATCGTTATCTTCGTGGTATCAAAGGAGACGGCTGTTCAATACGCGCTCCATAGTCTTACAGAGTATGGAGGTGATTGCGATAGGTCGATAATTAGATGGGTCGGCATGACTACCTTTCTTAGGTACAGGCTGTACATTTGCGAGCTTCCAGGATTTCGGGACTTGTCCAGAACTCATAGAGAGGCGATACAGGCGAGTCAACACCGGAGACAACTCGGGTGCACAGTTCCGCAGGACAATCGCTGGGACTCCGTCAGGGCCACTGGCTTTGTTGACGTCTAATTTGCGTAAAGCTTTCAACACCTCTTTTTGACGGATAGTGATTTCGGGCATTTCCGAGTCACATCGAGTTAGTGTAGGTGGAGTTTGCAAAGTAGCGTCAAGACGGGAGTTGGAAGCAAAAAGAGAAACAAAAAGATTTGCTTTCTCTTCAGCGGTATGAGCCAGCGATCCGTCATCTCTCATTAAAGGCGGAAGGGATGACCTGCAGAAATTCGCTTCGACCGATTTAGCGAGTGACCAGAATGCTTTACTCCCTGATGGGTATGAAGCTAACCTGACCCCAATACGACTAATATGGCCGAAGCGAGCTTTCCGTATCGCTTTTTTGCAGGATCTAGCGGCTTTATTAAAGGCTTTCTTCAGACGGAGGGTTTCCGGTGCTTTGCGATCTCGAGCATCAGCCCAAGCCTGGTACGCAGATTGCTTTAGCGTTTCCGCAGAAGCACACTCAGCGTTAAAGCAAGGGCGAGCTTTGCCGCTGGAGGAGACTTCGAAATATGGAATAAAGTATTCCATAGCCCGAATAATCACCTCAGAGACGGCAGACGCGCAGCACGTCGGATCGTCAGAAGAGAAGCACAGCTGCCGCCAGGGATAAGATGCAAAGAAATGCCGTATCGCATCCCAATCAGCTGATTTGTATCGCCACATCCTCCTAGTACTTCCCGTACTGAGATCGGGCGGGGAGTAGACAGATACAGATTTCACCAGACAGTGATCGGATGTCCCTAGTGGGGATGAGACCGATACTTGGTAGCGGTCTGGATCGGTTGTCAGCAGAAGATCCAGGCAATTGGCAGTGTGGTCGTCAACGTCCGGTACCCTGGTAGCGCAACTCACCAGCTGGGTGAGGTCTAGTGATAGAGCACATGCCCGCGCCTCTCTTCCAGGGTGGTCGGTTTTTTGGTATGGGAACAACCATTCCTGGTGATGGGCATTAAAGTCCCCCAAAAAGACAAGTTGTGCTTTAGGATACCGTTGTTGGACTGTTTCCGCCGAGCTGCAGAGATGGTTGAACAGCCTAGTCGTCTCCGGGTCTCCAGAATGCGACCGATACACACTGGCGTAGACAATTTGTTCCAGTCCAGTGTCTACCAGAACCCACATTACAGAGAGATCGGGGTCTTCAAGGTCACGGAGACGTTTAGAGCAGATGTCATCACGAGCGTAAACGCAGGTACCAGCGCGCTGCTTAAATTTGTGCTCCAGAATGTAACCTGGGTAATGCAGATACGCCGTGTCCGAAGGACATCTAATTTGGGTCTCCGTGAGGAAGAACATGTGAGGCCTTTCAGTCTCAAGATGGTGGTGGACAGATGAGAGATTGGAGTGCAGACCTCGGATGTTCGAGAGGTGCACTTTAAGTGAAAGGACGTGCATCCGCTGTTTAGCCTTCCTCAATTTTCTTGACCTTTTCATATTAGGGTTAGAGTGAATGGGGAGAGCGAAGGCAGTTGTACGAGACACTACTACTGAAAGTCATGCGGCACATGCCCTATATGGTACGCCGATGGGAAACTAGACTGGAGCGCGCGGGGACGCCCGAACCCCCCCGGGAGTGGCCATCGGGTCCTTTCATCCGGTCGCCAACCGGCACGATGGAGCACCCCGGGATTTTTCGCGAGTTGGCGGGGCAGCCTTTCACTGGAGGCTAATCAGCTAATTGGGCCCCCTACTACCTGCGGTCGGCCAGCGGAGCACCGTGCTTCGGATCCCGCTACCCTCCGCGTCTAGGTTCCCAGCGCAACAACAAGGGAGCCCCGAGATCAACCAAATCAGTGCAGTGCAACTGTACAGACCCTTCGCTCTAGAGCGGCTACTCTGGGCGTCAAGCCGGAACACAGCTATAGCTGTTTGGCGGCTAGGCTTCGCCCAGAGGGTGGTCACCAGCAACGACCAAGGTCTACCACCGGAGTTTGTAGCTTATTTGGCACCACCCAGGGGTCACGTGTAGGGTCTCGAGGGTACACAGCCTACGGACGCGAGCTACTTAACCCCCAAAATATATAATAAAAAACACACATAAAACTCTATTAAGTTTATAGCTTTTTTGTTCTTGAGTTTCATGTGTAGAAAGATATTGATTTTCTTACCATAGGTATATAAATTAAAAAATTTTTGTTTCAAATGTCACTTATATGGTTTTACCTTTAAATCGACTGTTGCATACTCTTTAGTATTTTTAATTAATTTTTATTGTTTCGATTGATGTGGGTTTTGTATTGTTTTGTTTTTTTGGTTTGATTCTCTTATCTTAAATGCACCATATGTTTAGTGTTATAGAGTTGATTTTTGTTAAATTGTGGAAATATTTTGTGAACTATGCAAGCCTACGCGTTCATAGTTCCCAAAATAGTAAAAATAAAAAAAATAAAATTTATTTGTCCTCTCACGTACAATACAAGCATAAAAAATGGAATGGTCTGTCTTGTAGGCAACAAAATTCATATAGAATTCAATCTTAGGCGAGAATGTCTTTAGGAATAATGAGTATTTTGTTTAGTTAGAAAACATATTTTAAGGTAAAATTTAACAAACTGAATGTGTTCATATTTTCATATGCTGAATTTTCACAGATTCACACGAAGATATTGTTGGAAAAAATAGTCCAATCAGCCAATCCAACGATTGCCACAGCGTCTCTGGGACAAGCATTGGCCAATGAAAAAAAGTGAATTTTGAATTACAAGAGTTGTAATTCTAGACTAGATTGCTAGATAAATTTGTACATTCATTGTAGATATTATGTATTTAGAACTAGTATGTGATATTACAAGGTAATTTTTGATTAATATTGTACATAAGTAGACTGGATTGTAATATAGCTTCAATATATTAAAGATTATATTTATATTTCGTAAAGAAGATTTAATTAATAGACATAAAATGTCGTATGTATTTTTTTTTGCTTTTACTAGAACCTATAGTTTTATGATTTGTAGACAAGCTGTGTTTAGGTAAATAGTCTAAATTTGATATTTATTCAGATTTCTTAATGGCGCCTGCCCGAGACGTGCAAGCAAAGAATTTTTTGTACTTATTAAGGATTTCAAAACCTTCAGGCCACCTATTTAATGGTTAGCCTACGCTATGACGTGATTAAGTGAGTGATTATTCACTCTCTTTCGCATTATGACCACAATACAACTAGTATTTCAAACAAAAATGGTGAGTGGGCATGCTGCTTTGATGCCGCGGCCGTTACCACTTACCATGTAGACGTATTGTGACGCGGTTCCCCGCCCGCGCCTGACTCGTCGGACAGCTTGAAAGCTTTTAACACGAGGGTAGGTTGTAAACTTTACTGCCTCTGTGGCCGAACGGTTGCCGTGTCGGACTGCCACGCAGAGGTCCCGGGTTCGATTCCCGGCCGGGAGAAATATTTGTATGGCCTACATTTATTTCTCTCGTGAGTTTGAGTGTAATTTGTGGTTGTCGACCTATGTGTACGTCTATGGCACCCGCGATACAGGGTTTCCCCGGTGCGGGGCTATGAGTGTGTGATATGAAAACATTTCAACAAAGTGTTAACGGGATTATTCGATTGCATTGCAAAATGCGTTTAAATATATTCTGCCATAATTTTTTCGACTTCGTATATACTTGTTTAAAAAAAGGAAGACATTTGTGATTGCAAAAACGCAAAGTCCCCTACTCGCATTGCCAGATATTACTACCAGAATGGTGGGCCATGTCCAGAAGTGGAACATATGTATGATAGGGCGTTGAAAATAATACATAATACCTGTCAAAAAACCTTAATTACCTGGATCGGAGGATCTCTTCCTTAACGCGATATTTTGTGAATCAATTTCGATGATTGTTTTTTTTTTGTTGGAAAGGGGGTAACTCAGTAGTGGTCCCGTTTCAATCTGAAGAAAATATTAAGGTGCCCGAAATTAATTCATCCCCTAGTTTGCCACACTTAGAGGTGGAATCTTTTCTTAGAATTATAAAGGCACTAATACTGATGTACGCGCTTTCCAACAAAAAAGAATCACCAAAATCGGTTTACAAATGCAAATGAGTAATCGAGTAACATATACACACAAAAAAATACAGTCGAATTGAGAACCTCCTCCTTGAAGTCGGTTAACAATAAGTTGCGGGTAATGTACAATAAAGCCTTAAAGGATTCAATTATATGAATAAAATCGGGTACTTGCCCCGCGGTAAGGTGCCCAAAATGCTGGCAGCGTTCCCCCTTAACTGCAACATTTAATTTCCAACTTAGATACATTTCGTTCATTCAAAAGATATTAACTAAGTTTTGTATTATATTCCTAGGGATCAAGAAAATATACTCACCGAATTCGGTCTATCCGACATATCAGATCCGTGGCTGACAGAATTTGCGGAACAAACTTTAGACCAGGTGAATATACACGACCTAATAATAAGAAAATTAAACACTCTTCACTACCATTACAGTCGTTACAGGTAATGAATGTCTTTTCAGGAACAAAGTTGAACCCTAATGTAATGTTGTAACTTATGACTCATAAAACCGCTTACGTAACGTTTACTTTGTTTTTTTTTAGATCTATTTCGATGCCTCCCACGTAAGTTGTGGTAAACAAAAAATGTTATTTTTTACTTTTTAACTTAAACATCCTTAGAAAAATTCCTTCGATCCGGCTGCATTCGAACCAACGCCTTTTTTGCGTGGGGAAATCCTGCTAGGATACCTCTCCGCCGCGGGGGTAGCGGGAGGTTATTTCTACCGGCTAAAACCCCCACGGTGGCCTTCTCGGGTGCTCTAGTGGGAAGGATCCGGGATCGACTTTGCGCACTGGAACCCCCCAGCACCTAGGAGGAGCTACGTCCTCCCCTCCTCTCCTCACGACGAAGCGGGCCACACCGCCCCGTCGTCCTCCTCGCGGCTGCCTAACTTACTGGCGAACGAAGGCCCCTCTCCGGTCGCCCGCAGCCGCGAAGGCTTCACAGTAGGAGACCACTGCCTCATGGGACTCTTGATCCGCCGACATAGCCGCTACTATGCCTGGTGGAGAGAGATTTCGCCCGATCCGGGCTCGAACCAACGACTATGCCAACTAAGCCACGGAACCAGCCGACCTTACGAATTTTTCTATGTGCTCGTTGCAGATCCTTGTTTTTGGTTTTCAACGACTTCTTTGCCGTCTCTCCAGGTGTGTTCGATCTTTGTATTATAATTATACAAGGAAACATCCTAACATTCAATAAAGTTTATGTACATTATAGGCCCCATGTTTAAAATTAGATTTTCACGTTTAACAGTAAAAAGACTAGAAGTTTTCTATAATACGCATAGAAAAGGATATTAAGTTGAAAAGCAAAAAAGGTATCTTGGCTTTTACAACAACTTACGTGTGAGGAATCGATTTATTTTAAGGATTTTTTACTATTTGTTGAGCGGTAATAGACGCTTTCGACGTGTGGTGTTGGAGTAACAACGGCCAGCAACGATAAAGAATAAACCAGTCCATACTTAAGCAGCTTAATATCGTAGATAGACTTTGGATCCTAAAGTATTTTGGTCATATTGCTCGCCGACAACCAGACAACCTTGACAAACTGGTTGTGGTTAGGTGGAGGGAAAGAGACTCCACAGTTGATCACCGCCGACGGAGTGACCAAGTGATCACCCTCACTGGCCTCCATAAAACAACTACTCTGAGAAAGACCGAAGACAGAACCAGGTGGAAGAAAATCGTAATTAATATAACGACTAAGATGAGAGCGCTCAGTGGCGTATGCTCCGTCTCTTCAGTTATGTTGTTCTTCAGAGCAATGAATTTTCGGTTTGAGCTATTCAGTCTCGTTCTATCAATGTGAGTTATATTAATATGTAATAACACTTTAATTAAAATTTAAAAAAACACCCGGCGCACAAAACGTTTATTCCCAGTAGCTCCATGTACTCAGTTCCACGTAGAACAATTGTAACCTTAAAATGTCATATTTATTCCCATTAGTTCCATGTAATTTTAAACTATTTTTACATCTGAATTTTCTTCCATGTCAAACCTTAAGAAGTTCATCAACCCCATTTCCAAGATACATATGGAGAGTCTATAAAGGCAGAACATGCGCTAAGTAATAAAACAGGGTTTTTTTTTACTTTTGTAAAATAAATTATCGATTGCTGTGCAGAATTTGAAAGCTACAAACTGCTCATGCTTTTAAAATTAAACAAATACCACAATTTATTAACGAATAATAATGTAATAATTAGCGAATGTCTAGCGTAACGTTTTAAAAAGAAAGCGACACGTATTTATTTTCTTATTAGCTTGATTTGTCAATTTGGAATGTAAATATCTTTTTCAATAATAATTTTCCTGCGTTTTGCTTGGGGTTTCATGTTATTTTGTAACTGTACTATGCTTACGTCGTAAAAAGAAGAATCTTTTTCTAAAATCAGGGTAGACTGGTGAATCGCTCATGGTCTCTTCTTAAAATTACTGTTTTGATTTCGTTCTGTCAACCCTCCAATGGGTCGGTCGTTGTATGTTGCTCTCCGAAAGATCACCAAGTTTTTATAAAGTTATCTTGTATCCAGTGTCTATTCATGTATATCTTGGACCAGTACGTATTCTTCAATTTTAGTTTTTATACGTATAATTAAAGCCTTCTCTCTTCCGGCAGCAAAGGTCACCATACAAGTTAACAATTTTTCATAAATAATTTTTAATCAAATTCAATTGTTTGGCCTCTCCAAATCGCATTTGAGAAATGATAGAAACAACCATGATATGCACCTTTAGGAATCTTTCTATGTATGGAACTAACGGGAACAAAGCTAAAAACATTAATTTTATTCCGACTAGTTGTTCCGATGTATGGAATTTTTGGGTTGCAATTGTTCCACGTGGCATGAGACATGAAACTACTGGAAATAAACGATACAAAACACTAAACTCTAAATAGTCATTAAAGTGACTATCCGTCAGGTAACAACTCGTTGAGACCAATATAATGAGTCCGAAACCGATCTTTGCGATTTAAAGCTTTAAGTGGTACTGCAACTGTTATGGACAGGCGTGTAGCTTACCATCAGGCGCACAAATTGTTCGTCCCGTTACTTGATGTTATAAAAAAGGTTATCTATATTATATATATCTATATTATATCTATATAAAAGGTTATATATATTATTATTGTAATGGTACACCAAATTTCAAGTCGATCGGAAGACTAATGAAAAAAGAAAATATATCCATTTTATGACTGAGACCTACGAAACACTAAGTGAATCTTGTCTTTTTTTTAAAAACTAATCTCAAAAGTTCGTGGAGTTATATTTATTTGTTAAGTTTTATTGCAATTTGTTGCCAGTGCAGAAAGTCCGCGAAACCGGATTCAAGTGGAACATTTTCTTCAAATTGAAATGGAACCAATAGTAAATAATAAAACCTTTCCAATAAAAAAGAATAATCGAAATCGGTGCACAGATTCCGGAGTGATCGCGTAATATACACACAAAAAATAGTCGAATTGAGAACCTCTTAATTTTTTTTGAAGTCGGTTTTTTAACTAATTAAGAGCTGGATTTTTAGACAACGGAACCGATGTTCATCAAACATAGCTAAGAACCGTCCAGATTATACTAGCTTTCCAATACAGATAAACCGCTTTAAGGTCAGTCAGTCCAACTTATAACTGCCCTCTTTTTGCCTCGGGGGTGTAAAAGATCGACATACGATTAGGGTAAGCATTCATTTTTCTGTTATAAGAAAAACGTCTAATGTGGCAGTTTGTGAAGCATGGGGTTAGGACCAATTCTTACAAGAGATACCGTTGTAACGTTGTCCCGACGACTGTTCCCAAGTAGATACATGTTTCTTACTACGATTTTATGTCGGATAAAAGGAAACTAGTGGTGAATATTCTATTTTCATACTATGAATATGAAATCGACCACTATACGCGCTTCGGACACATCTGTTTTCAGTTGCTTCCACTTGACACAAAAAGTGTCCGATGACAGCACCTAGAAACTGACATGGTTGAATTGCTTTCAAGTATTGACAGCGATCCCGTTTGTGCCGACGTGTAATCAGCACAATAAGCCAAATACGTATGTGTTTCTTCGTCAACATCCATCGTGGCACCGACGGAACACTCTAAAATTCAAGCACCGAACTGTTGCCAGACCACCTACAAGTAGCAACCGGCAGTAGTGTGTGCGGTTGCCGGACATACCAACCACGCTTTCCTGTGTTGGTGTTCTGTGTCGGCAACCAAAAGTGTCTACGTTTGCACTTATTATAATATTTCCGATCAGTTGGCAATAGTTTCTCAGTCAACTCGTGAGAATGGATTCCGAAATATCGGGAGAAAAATGAACATACCGTGGTAAGAAACCAGTTTCTAATTTGTAAATCGCTGCAGCAATATCGTTGCTAAGTGCGATGTAGTTGTAACGTGGCGTCATTGAAAACAAACGGATAAATAGGTGTTATCTGATTTGACTACGGCGTAGCCTAAGGTTCACTACATTTATCGGTACATAATCCCATTAAACCAGTAATTTTTTCCCAATTGTCGCCAGTGGGAACATAGCTCCCATGTGTTACCAGGTGGTGACAATATTATATAATATAATTTATATAATTTAATGATAAAAAACATCAGATCTGGACACTATCTGCCTGTCTGGACAGATAGTGTCCAGGCTATCTTATCTGTATTTTTATCATTAAACACGAATTTTATTTTATTTCCTTTCGATGAAGGCAATAAACAAATATTAATAGGGATTTTCTATTCCATTTGTTACCACTGGCAACTACTGGGATATTTTAAATTCTATTTGTCGCCAGTGGCAACAACGGATCTTTGTATCTCCATGTCACCACCTGGTAACATGGGTTTTTTCCCATTTGCCGCCAGTGAGAGCAAAGCCAGTGGTGACGACTGGGAATAAGCAGATTTTAAACATTTTTCTCGTTGCATTGTACAGTCAACAGCGCATCAAGTTATACACTTTTGTTCGACTATGCAACGCAACAAGATCCGTCGATATATAGCTTGACACGTTGCTGTTTGTACAAATATTGAAAATGGGAATATATATATGTATTTAAACACTTAAATAGGTATTTCACATTTACTTACCTATTTTTCTGAGGCCAGGTTGTACTGGCCGTGGTCATGGCCTCTCGGGATTCACGATTTTGCTCATAATTTAAACTTTTTTATTATAGTTTTAAATATTAAACAACAACACCACCATTGCTCTGATCCCAAAGTAAGTAACTAGAGCACTTGTTATAATTATTAATACATAGATCGAACACAGAAAAATCCATTCGATCCGACTGGATCCGAACCACCGTCTTCAGCATAACAGGCCGATGCTCTCCCAACTAAGCTATGCGGAACGAACCAGCAGACCCAACGAATTTTTCTGTGCAGATCTTTGTTTTTGGTTTTTTTAACGATTTTTTGCCGTAGCGCCATCTGTGAGAAATCTATTGAAGTTTTTTTTCACACAGCCAGGTACCTTTACAGCTACCAGCGACTGACTAGATATGTCGCTTTACTAATTGCAATAAGAAGTTTATTGACTTTCACGATGTTTTGCTGAAGACGCTGGCTCGAATCCAACCGAATCGAAAGAATTTTCTGTGTTCGATCTTTGTATTAATAATTATAACAGACTAGTGGAGTAACTTCACAAAAAAAAATAATAATATCATAATAGTAAAACATCGTGTCAGGCAACAATTCCTCTTCTTCATAATAAAGCATTTGTGTTATGGAAAAACAACGTCGGCATCACAAACAATCAGACCCGAAACAGTTTAGAAAAGCTAGTTTTTCTACATTGTTCCGATCGAGGATCGAATCCAGCTCCTCAGTGATGGCGACACCATGAAAACTGGCTCCGCTCGACCACGGAGGTTTTGGTTTTTTTATTCAAAATACAATAAATTTTTTAATATTTATTTTAATGATCTATTACAAAGAACTAATTAACAACAATTCAATTAGTAAATTAACCCGTTCATGGAGAGTACTTAAATAGTACCGCAAACAAAAATGTCACTACCTTGTGCCGTAGTGCTTATAATATTTATGATTTATCTATCACGGACGGCTGAACCCGTCAACATTCTTGTACAAAAGAAAGTACGGCTATGGCAGTTGTTGCTTTTTTTAGTTGTTGTTGCAGTATTGAATTACTCAAACAATTGTAACTTTTTTACAAAAAAAATACGTCTTTTGCCGAGTTTTTTTGAAGTCGCTTAACGGAAAGTGGGTGAAATCCAATGAACCGGATTGATCCCCTGATTTGTCACCCTTAGAGGCGGAACACTTTGTTCAAATTTGAATGAAATCACTACTGAGGTACCTCCTTTCTAACAAAAAAGAATCATGGACTATTAGCGCTGCCGCGCACACGCATCATGAGTGAGGCAGCCTTCTTGCGCATAATGGCATGTAAGCCATCTGTGTGGAGATCATTAAACAAACTTCAATGGCATTGACATGTAGGTACTTGTATCATTTCATAACAAATGCGTCGGCGTCTGGTATCCACCGAACTGCCTTAATGTAATGTCTACAAATGTGTGCGTGGAAATCATTGAATTTTGTCAGTACGTTGATACTTACTCCTTTATGGAGAATTGGAGAAACAGCAGCGACAACTGCCTCCGTAGCCGAACGGTTACCATGCCGCACTGCCACGCAGAGGTCCCAGGTTCGATTCCCGGGCCGGGGGAAATAGTTGTATGGCCTACAATTATTTCTCTCGTGAGTTTGGGTGTAATTTGTGGTTGTCTATGTGTGTGTCCATGGCACCCGCGACACAGGGTTTCCCTAGTGCGGGGCTATGTTGAGTGTGTGTGCGTTATTAGAAAGCACTTGGAAATCACACTCTAAAACCCGTAGATTTTTTTCACCGTGAACGTTCACTTCTGATATTCGGATTGCCTGTGGACCTATTCCCCGAAACCTATAACTTGGACCTTTTCAAGGCGAGAGTGAATAGGCATTATTGAGGTGTGCATGCTACATCGTCGACCTCATCGATACTTTCCGTCAGGTGAGATGGAGGTCAAATGCACACTTATTTTGTATATAAAAATATATATGTATTTTAGTAAACGCTGTTACTCTCCTTAAACGCGTTAAAAAAGGTGACTCTATATAAATAAACGACTACAGTGAACGGAAAACATTTTCAAATTCTTTTGAATTTGTAATGCGAGAAGGCTATCGAGGAATGCATTTTTTTATTATTAAATAGACGAACACTTGGCTCGATCGCACCTGATATTAAGTATTACGTCGTAATAAAACTATTACCCTTATTAATTTTAATTATTATTTAAAATCTTAACGTAAACACGGTCATCGACGTGCGGGGGATCCGGTACGATTATGGGTACTCCGTCCATTTTGAGCTCCGTGTAAGGCACGCTGTACACTTGTGTAAATCCTTGGCGCTCCGCAGACTTGGCCGAGTAGTAACTCGACGTGTCCATTCTCAGGATATTGATGCCGCGCGCTTTTGTTGCTTTTCTAAAGAGAGAACACTTTATTATTCATTGTTGTTGTTCCATACGGGTACGTCACTGAGTTATTTCTGTCAGTCTACGCAAGGTTAGCAATTGTACTCGTAGTTAACGACGGTTTAGATATTCTATATTTTTCAACGAGTTAGTAAAACTTTTATGCACACACTTATATACACATTTGGAGATGTCATTAAATAATGTACGAGGCGACTGAGGCCAGTGCAGGAGACGAAAAGAAGTGTAGTAAATGGAGATTTCTGCCTACTCCAGTTGGAGACAGGCGTGATGGTATGTATGTAGGTAGGAGCTTGCTAAGGTTTACTTATAAGAAATAAATTTGATTTTGTTGTTGTTTCCTTATTAGTGCTTATGGGTTGAAATTACGAATGTTTTAGATCCATTACACCTGGTTAAATATTTATTATTAAAAGCTTTGTTGAACGTTTTGTTTTTTGATTCTGTGTCAGCAAGTTCTTTGTAAATTGAACCAAATATGCATTGAACAAGGCGACATTATTTTTCTAAATGAAATAATATTCATCATGTTGTATTCAACTCGTAGCAGTAGAGCTCCTTATAAGAGTTCGTCCAAGGAAGTACTTATTACATATATGTATATAAGTAATAAGTACTGCCTACGTGGTCGAACGGTTACCATGCTGGACTGCCACGCAGAAGTCCCAGGTTCGATTCCCGAGCGGGGAGAAATATTTGTATGACCTACATTTATTTCTCTCGTGAGTTTGGATGTAATTTGTGGTTGTCAATGTGTGTCTCCATGGCACCCGCGATACAGGCTTTCCCTAGTGCGGGGCTATGTTGAGTGTGTGCGTTATTATTATTATTATTATATGACGTATTTCTGCCGCCAAAAAGTAATGTGAGCATTAGTACTTCGGCTTAGAAGGGTTAAGGGTGCTGGTGAAATTACATGCACATGGGATTTATCTTCAATCAACTTATGTCTCAGGGTGACGAGCGCAGTAGCAGTGCCCCTCAGATCTTTGTGATTTAAAGCTCTGAGTGGCACTGCAACTGTGAAGGACAGGCGTGTCGCCTACTACCAGGCGCACGACTTGTTCGTCCCATTACATGGTACTATATTAAAAAAAACTACGCAATAAGCAGCTATGACCGAAATTAGGCCCCTCGTATCTGTTTCTTCGGTAGATTCTCATCCTGTGTTGACCGCATATGTTATCGAACCACAACCGCAATATTGTTGGAAACAAACAAAAATATCCCAAAGACTAACCCGTCGCCATTATTTAATATGTCTAGATTGTCATAACTAGTGTTGGGTCATGGAAAAATTTCCAATTTGAAAATCTACATTTTCATAGGTAAGCAAATTACACTTGAAATAGTCATATTAATTAAACTCTACTGCTGACTGCGAACTGGAAACTTCGCGAAACCGGAGTCATCCCCTTAGAGGTGGAATATTTTCTTCAAATTTAAATGGGACCAAGGGGACTGAGGTACACTCTTTTCAACAAAAAAGGAATCACCGAAATTGGTTCACAAATAATAAGCTTACGTTAGATTGTAATGTTATCGGGTAACATACATACAAAAAAATACAGTCGAATTGTGAAGCTCCACCTTTTTTTGAAGTCGGTTAAAAACAGACAGACATTTAATTGATGTTAAATTATGTGTAGGCTCGGCTTGAGTCGGTCAGGAAAAACTTTATTATCCATGCAGTAAGAACGACAAAAAAATAGCTCGAAAGACGCGACGCCTACTGCGCGGACCGGAGCTTGGTTTCTGACTGGCTCAACCCGAAAGCACGGCAAGTGTAGTGACTTCTCTTTGCGTTTGACTAAACATTTTTATGATTCATAGGTATTCTACTAATACATACTCTGTTTCTTCGACCAGCCTGTTCATAATCCCTTTTCTTCTCCAACTATGGTCTGTACCGGCTACCTTAATGTCAACTAATTTCTGTTCATTGGGGTACTTCTCCCATAACTTAGCACCTTCATTTCTCATTGCCAAAATGTAAAGAATCTTCTGGAACTTTGGATTTTTACAGTTAATTGCTTGACTTCGCAGGTCTGTTCCGTCGTCTGGCTGGAAAGAAATTTAAAAAAAACAATTAGTTTAATGTGATGTTAAGCAAAATTTTTTATAATTATTTAAATCAAAAGTTTATCATAATTAGATCGAACACGAAGAAAAATTCCTTTGACCTGGCAGGACTCCAACCTGCGTTCGTGTTAAAGCAGGGCGACCTCTCTATCAACTAAGCTACAGATAGCAGATCTTAAGAATGTCTCTGTGTTTGTTATATTTTGGGTTGGGCATTGGGTTTTTTAGACTTAAAGCGACACCTGTGAGAGACTTACGAAGCTTCACTTACGGGGTTATAAGCCGAAGAAAACATCATGATATTCGATAAAATCAACAAAACAGTTATTTGTTATGCAGGGCTGTAATGTTGTTGTTTAACGCGAGTGCTTGTATTGAAACCTGAGCAAGTGAAGGAGGCTAACATTTCTACGATAAGAATAAAATATGCCAACGGATTTGTATTAGATAAATAATATACAACAAATCGCGTAGCTGAATGTACCATTATTTTTTCATCGAAAGAAAGTTTGGGTGCACCACAGTCCATCGTCACGTTCGAATTTCAAGAACCTTTTCCTAGCTAGCGTTTGAAAAAACGCAATCGCGCGCAGAAACATTGTAATAGTTAATAAACTTCATATATCAACATCAAAGTTTATTGCTTTGCTTTAAAAAATCACATATAATCCAAAATCAGTGAATAATCTCTCTCCAAGTCATTATCAATTAGATATATACACTACGATAAGATATTTGTACAGTCTGATAGCTATCCGTAAATTCCGTAAGTGTGTATAAAAAAGAAAGAATCGCAAATAAACATAAATTCAACGGTGTTTTTTTCCAGTGAATTTCTTTTTACTAATAATATGTTATTGAAGAAGAATTTTATAATTCTGTAGTAATTATAGTTGCAGAAACAGGATTGTCTATACGAAACAAACTATTTTTTTTTTCGGAGCTAAATTGCGTATTTGAACGATCCCAATTATTTGTTTTCTTAAACAAATCATTGGGTTCTTTACATGTCCTATGGTCACAGCTGGCTGACGACGGCATGAGAAGTGTAAAGGGCCTAAAACGTTTGGTTTGTTTGAAAGAACAAATATCCATACGCAATTTAGATCCGAAAAACATAGCTTCATTTCCTATTTATGTAACAATCGCGAAAATCCATGAACTCGATGAGATTACCTGTAATAAATAAGCATTTTAATTGAAAAACTAAATGATCACCGAGTTTTGGAATTGACTCTATTAACCTAATCTTTTTATACCTACATAATAATATACATATCTATCAAGATGATCTGAAGTGACTATGAATCTTATCTCACCTCTTTAACTGGGTCGACTCCGCTAATACAAACACCTACAATATTGCCTTCCTTGTCCATGGCCTTAAAAGATAGTCCTTCCAGAATGGACTTCTTGCAGTATTCCTCTAGTTCCGTACAAGGGTTGTTGGTGCACAGTCCTATGGCTGCATTTAAAGGTTCGTCAATGTAGAATGTTCTGCAAACGTTTTAGGTACATTAGTCACGTGATCTTTACTTATACCAAGTCACATGACCGAATGGAAACATGACATCGGTGGCAGTAGAGCTCTTTGTGAAAGAGTTTGTCCAGGCAAGTACTGCCACTTTACCTGGTTCTGCCGCCATGCGGTAATGTGAGCGTAGATCCTGGTGGAACTACAGGCACATGGAACTTGTAAACTTATGTCTGGCACAGTGTCTTATCATATAGGATAGGTGTGTCGCTTACCACTACGCGCGAGAATTGTTCGTTTCGTACATTGGCATCATAAAAAAATGATATGTATTTGGAAATGAAACTATATTTTTTCTTCTCGGATCGAAATCGCGTATAAGGCTTTGGTTTAAAAATCGCTACCTCTTGATTTAAAAGAAATACGTTTACTGTTCCATATAATGTGATAATGTTGCCCGGACACGGTTGCGCAACTGTTGCTTTTGTACAGTTGAAGAAAACTAAGTAACAATAGCATATGTAGCAAATTTAAAGTGTAAAATGATGAATGTCAATGGTATTAATGGTTTCATTATAAATTGAGTTCACTATATTACATTTATTGTAAAAGCTACTGCTAGTTAACGAGCAGCGTTGGGGCCTAGTGGGAGAACGGTTGCTTCTCAATTATGAGGTCCACGGTTCGACTTCCTGTGGCGGCGGGTAAATATACCTATGACTTTGATTTTTAAGTTACGTACATTTCGATACCTCCTATAAACACTACGCAAATTTCATTTTTTTTGCACATTTTCTGTTATTTTTGTAAACAGCAGTATTTCTTTACTAGTACTATGCTTCCAGAATTTTCTGAAAAAAGAAACAAAAAAACGAATTTTGTGAAAAAAGGAACAAAAACAAAATAAAAACAGGACAGGTCCAAAAATTATGTTGGCGTAGTGTTCGTTGTAGGTATCGATTTGTGAATATTTAATAACAATATCTCTTTGCTAACATTGAAGGAAAATATCGTGATGAAAATTACATTTTATTTATTTATTTACCGTTATCAAAACTGCATGTCGAAGAAGTTTTACAAGTCCAGTGGACTATGATCTAAACCCTTTTTCTGTTAATGGTGATGGTTACTGTGAATTTCAGTTTCCATTTTCACTGCTTATAAATTTATCATTACCGTATACCTGCTTAAAAATCAATACACGAAATTAATTGCCTACGTTATTTCCAATTATAACAGTGTCCAAGATTCAAAACTACATATCGACTCTGGAAAGCGTCTAAAGCGCATTTGGAAAATATTACGGGAAAAGTTGAAACTTTCTCGTTTTGCCACATGACAAGTAAAATTAGAGTTATGATTTTTTTTTACAATTAAACTAACTGTCATCATTAGTTCAAATCACGTTCAAATACTTTCTTATATTGGCTCATCCTGTCGCTCGTGGCTCATCAAATCAGAGTGTGGTGCCGCCTTGGAAATAAGTTGAGGAGTGTGATATCGTCGGGGACACTGCAATAACGCGTAACTAGCATTTGTTTATGAGTCTCCATTTCGGTAATTTAGTCGCCCAATCAAATACGCCACGTAAGTGTCGTGGCAACCAAATTAGCGTGATTTACGGGAATCTATTGTTGTCAGTCCGTAGACAACATAAGTTGAAGCTCACTGTGCAAAAATGAGAGTCGTAGCCATTGAAATACAAAAATACATACGCGGATACGTTGACGATATGTTGTAAAATAAATTGAAACTTAAATAAGCCTCATATAATAATAAGCCACTGGCGATTGTGCACTGGCAAACTTGTTGAAGAGTGTAATAGAGCCAAAACAAAACAATGAACGGGTTGGCTAATGAGGATGCAAGTCTAATTGTGAAAATTAATTTGTTGTCATAACTCATATTGCATGTGTAAACAGGTTAAGATCAATTTAGTGAAGTACACAAAATTGTAGGACGTTTCAAAGATTCCTAACGGTAGTTTGCTATGGGGTTCTCAATTCAGAGACCGTCCTTCTGCAACTGTTTCGTTTGGTATTGCAGAATTGGTGAAGTAGGGCTTAATTTGGTTACGGTTGACAGCACATCATCCTACACACAGCACTTTAGCAGCAGTAGAGCACCTTGTGAAAGAGTTCGTCCTAGGAAATACTACCTATTTCAGCCGCCAAGCACTGCGATCCGGGACTTACGAATTTATGTCTCAGAGTGACAAGCGCAGTGGCAGTGCTCCGCAGATCTTTGCGATTTAAAGCTCTGAGTGGCACTGCAACGTTATGGATAGGCGTGTAGCTTACCACCATGCATACGACTAGTTCGTCCCGCCACTTGATATTATACACATGGGCGCACTGTAAGTTTCCGGAACTGGCCACTTACATAAACAATATTTAAAAAGTAATTACAACAACAGTAATTACATTACAGTCAACCGTGACCATGGGACCTGTAAAGGGCCCGAAACGTCGGTTTGTTTGAAAAAACAGATATACGCGATTTAAATCCGGAAAAATAGTTTCATTTCCTATGTGTAACAATCGCGAAAATCTAAGAACTCGATAAGTAATTACAACATTTGAAAATGGAACTCTTTGGCTGCAGAATACATACAATTTGTTTCATCTGACTGTCACTTGTTTTTACATTGTGGCGTCATTTTAGAAATTGATTATATACTATATACTCAAATTATTATAGACTATAAGAAGAGGATTTAGACTACAGTCAGCCATGCCGTTTTCAAGATTTGTGAACTTTCTTTTTACGCATATCTACAGATTTCATCACGAAACATTCCTTTACCGTCAACTTATCCTGCTTCTTAGAACCTACCTATAGGACTCACAGAAGTCCTGTCTAGTACATTTTCTTTGTTAGGACTGAAGTAGGCCGTTTTGTTTTATTTATAAACTGGACCCAAATGTACCAAAATTAAATGTAAACCACCTCTGTTTTGTGTTCTAACAATCATATTTTATAAGTTTATTGTAACAAACTTAGTCATTTTTATTTTGAGGCAACACACTTGACGGATTTGCTATTCACGACGTTTAAAACTATAGTGAAACAAATATTTTATACTAAAGGTTATTATACAACTTCTGCGCACTTGGATGACAAAAATCCGTGGTAGTAACCCGTTTAGCTCATGGAGGTAGTCTCGATCTCTGATGTTTGAAAGCAAAACAAAAAATATATTCTAAATGTTGAATGCGTACAAATGTTATTTACAAAGAGCAACCCCTAGAGTTTCTTGCTTATTCTTCTCGGGGGAATCTGTCTTACGAATGAGCGGTAGAGTTTAACCAATGTGACGATTTCAAGTATAATGCTTACCTATGAAATGAAGATTATTTTGATTTTGATTGGATTTTTTCGACGTCTGACTTAGTTACCCATAGTACAGGGGATCCTAGTTTAGGAGCTAGCCACATCTCTGTACCTATTTTTCTTTAGGTTGCAATAAAGTTAGTTTTATAATTTATACAGTTAGCTATCAAAACATTCACAAATGTACGTAACTTAGAAATTATTAAAGGATTCGTCGACCTCTAAATTCAGAAACAATCGTGCCAACACTGGGCTACCACCGTATTTTATGGCTACCACCGCTTTCGCCTTTTGTTAAGTACAAACTTACCTTCTCAATAAAGCCATGACGTCGTTTACGTCGACTTCTTTCACCACATCGATGGTATATTCTGGTTTTGACATGTTAATACTTCTACTTGAAGCTGTGGAAACCTAAAAATGTAAGAGCTTTTAATAAAGATGTAGGTAAATTGGCCAAAACACGACTGGAGAAGTTAATCATCTTTAAATACGTAGAGACTCTAACTCAACTCAAACTTTGATAAAATGCAATAAAGGTAGTGTTCAGTATTTACTTATTTCAGTTTCAGTGAGTACATAACGCAGAGATTCAAAACCATACTTAATTATGTAATAAATAATTAAAAAAACGATCTCAAAAGTTTGTGGAATTACATCTATTTGCCAATTTCTATTGAAATCAATTAACGGAAAGTGGGTTAAATACAATAGACAGGATTCATCCCCTAATATTTTTTTTTATACAATTGTAAGTGCGCATTTGACCTCCATCTCACCTGACGGAAAGTCACGATGAGGTCCACGATGGAGCATGCACACCTAAATAATGCCTACTCACTCTCGCCTTGAAAAGGTCCAAGCTATTAACGTTCAGGGAACAAGTCTGCATGTAGGGAATTCCACTCCATAGCATTTCTCCATATAAATGTGGAAACGTAACGCTTCGTGGGAATCTTTGGTATATCCACAACATAGGTCCGTTATCATTGTTATTATTATTTCTTTATTTTTCTCAGCTTTTTTTTGTAGCTGGGTTGAACCACACGTGCGGACCGAAATCAAGCAAATGCAGCATGTCTATGTGGACGGTGGTGGTGATGCGTAACAAGCTTACTTCGTCGTCTTTCGTCTGCAAGAACCTTCTAACAATGCGACAAGTATTAAGGATTCCTTCTGTAACAAGTGGTGTTTGGTGGGAGATTCAGGGAATGCAATGACTTGTGTAGCTGTTTGGGAATGACGCCTGTGGTAGAAATAACTATTGGTACTATTACTACATTCTTTAATTACCATATTCTGGTTATTTCCTCTTTTAGTTCTGTGTATTTAGAGAGTTTTTCTGGCATTGTAGACTGTAAGTTGTGGGTGTTTGGTACGGCAATGTCTATTAAAAATACGGTTTTGTCAATCCTATTTACTAGCGTGATGTTTGGTCTATTGTAGTGGATGGTTCGGTCAGTCAGAATGGCTCGATCAAAATATAATTTGGTTGTATCATTTTCAAGTACGGTTTCAGGTGTGTATTGATAATAAGGCCTTATGGTTTCCAAAAACAAACCACTGTGGTCTGTGGTTACAACTGAAGAAAACCACTGACATAAGAACAACAATTTATAAACAGGACAATTTGTAGTGGCAATAAATATCTTCACTAAAATCCCCAAAGAAATTTCATTCCAATCACAGAATAATTCATTTATCAATTAACATCAGCAAATCATAATTAAAAGCGCATTTGATAAAAAAATGTTATCGTAGCCTACAAGTTTCTTGAGGAATAATAAATATAATACCTATACAATTATTGTTTAGGTATTATATTTTTAAATTTGATTAATTATATAAGTTCCCTTAAAAAAATTTTATGTTCTTTTTAAAAAGATAAAATCCTTTCACTATTTTGCGTACCGAAAAGATTATATTTCTATGCAATATAAAAAACACAAGTATCGTAAATTTCTATTCAATTTAATTTAAAATTAACCTCGAAAATACAGAAGTATTGTTGTGTGGTTATGTCTACATCGGATATGTTTAGTCTCGTATTTTTACGTAATGTACAACTATTACGATTTTGTTTTTATAGTTTCTGTATCTATGGAGTGTATGGTGTTGTATGGTCTGCTTAAAGGTCACATAAGTGACATTCCACAAATCCACAAAAAATCTCCAAATTATGTACCAGTTGTAAGAAAATCGCCATCTTTCTGCAGATAAAACCACTTATTGAGTTTATAGCTTTTTTGTTATTGAGTTTCACCTGCAGAAAGATAGTGATTTCCTTACCATAACTATACATATATTTTTGTAGAAATGTCACTTATGTGGTTTTACCTTTAAACAGGCGGTATGCATAATGTAAAATTTGTTTAGATAAATGTTCATAAGAATTTTTTTCCGCCAATGCACCACTGTGGGCGCCCTAACAGGGTCATGTTGATACTATTTAAATTTTAAGATCTGTGTAACACATGGAAGCGATAAATACTTTGATTTTCGACTTACATACCTCTTCCTTTTTTCGAAGTCGTTTAAAACAATAAGTAAATGGATAACAATACTGGTGACTAGATGTCTGACACTAATAGCCGTGTTATTAATTTGCAAATGCATGTACATTACTTACGCGAATAAATAATGAAAACAATAAGACAATAAATGTTACTACGATAATGAACAACAAATTGTAAAGTCGCTGCAAATAATTGCGTATTCACACGTGGAACTGGATGAACAGTAACATGTCGTAACATAAATCTATACCCTTAGGAGAACAGTTGCGTACATAATGTACATGGAAACATGTGTATTTTTAACCGACTTCAAAAAAGGAGGAGGTTCTCAAGTCGCCTGTATTTTTTTTTGTTTTTTTTTGTATGTGTGTTACGCGATAACGTTTTATTACTACAAAAACTTTCATATACAAAGTGCACCACTGTGCACCGCAATTAAAAGTTATTATATAAACGAAAAATAAACATGAAAAGAACATAACATTTCTTAAGTGATTTGTGAACCAATTTTTAATTCTTTTTTTATTGGAAAGCGGGCACCTCAGTAGTGGTCTCATTTAAATTTGAAGAAAATATTCCTCCTCTAAGGGTGGCAAACTAGGGGATGAATCCAGTTTCGCGCCCTTTCCGGTAACCGATTTCAATAAAACTTGGCAAATAGATGTAATTCCACGAACTTTTGAGGTCGGTTTTTTTACTACTTTGTGCTGAGACTATTCATATGTCATCGCTTATTCGATTCACAGCCAAACACGTCTTTAATAATCACAAGTTAGGCTATTATATGGTCTGTCACTTTTTAAACATGCATCTTTGAACGCTATGCAAAGACGTATGGTACAGGGTCAAGATTTGACAATTAAGATTTAAATTCAACTCTTTGCATTAAGAACCTTGCAATGTCTAAAGTGGCAAGTTTAATGTGCTCTTGACTAAAACGAGTCATTTAGTCTGGTGTATTGTGGTGTGTAGTATTTTGTTTACATTGTAGGTGTGGTCTCTCGTGTTTAACTACGTTATCAAAGATTGGGCGTACTTGGTGTTGGATTATGGAAAATTATACGTAGATATTTCAACATACAAGTTTGACAGTTATTGTCCAATAGTTTAGCTGTTTTTCTGAAAACAGTTCAGGGCAATTATCCGACTCCAGGCGTACCTACACAGAAAAAACATTTTCGTTCATTCATTGCAGTCCTGTATTAGCCACTGCTGGGTCTAGGCCTCCTTTCGCTACTCGTCAAACTTTCCGGCGTTAGCCTGCACGAGAAGGTTTTTCGGCGATTTTTACTAGGTCTCTTCAAGCGATTGAGCGTCCTCAGCCCCACAGGAACCGACACCGCTGGTAGAGTGTGGAATGAGATTTATTGGCATTTATCGTAATTGCGAAATTTGACAATACGTTTCTTGGTAACTGTTTCTCCCTCTGTAATTGGATTTAAATCTTAATTCTGTCTCTGGGTGTCGTTGTGGGCTTGGTGCTTTTTTGACGTGTATAAAAAAGTTCTTGTTATGTAGTTTTTAACCGACTTCAAAAAAGGAGGAAGTTCTCAAATCGACTGTTTTTTATGTATGTTACGCGATAACTCTTACTTACTTTGTGAACCGATATTGATGATTCTTTTTTGTTGGAAAGAGGGTGCCTCGGTAGCGGTCCCATTTAAATTTGAAGAAAATATTCCACCTCTAAGGGTGGCAAACTAGGGGATGAATCCGGTTTCGCGCACTTTCCGGTAATCGATCTCAATGAAAACTGGCAAATAGATGTGACAAATTCCACGAACCTTTGAGGTCGGTGATTTCAGCTACTCTGTACTGAGATTATTGTAAGGACAATACAAGAATTTAACGGATTACCAGAAATCGGAATAGGCAGAGGTGTTTACTTAAATTTCAAAGAAATAATACGCACTGAGTGGATAATACCTCCCTTTGTATTCCCGGAATGATTAAAAATAAAAGTTGAAGAAACCGTTATATTATTATTATTAATTACAGTCAAAAAACTTTTCTTCTTAACTGTTACCTGCGTTTCAAAAATGTAGAACATAATAAAATTCAATAGGTCCGTGATTGCAAGGAGTCTATTTCACTCAATGTGTATATTTCAAATTTAAGTAAATATTATTATTCACGGAAATTATACCAAACACAATTAAAAAATCATTTGCTGTAATATGTATGTATAATTAAAATATGAATAATAAGTAATATTATCATAAAAGAAAAAAACTAACTGCAAAGCAGCACATAACTAAGAGCGTTTTAGTCCGTAAGTCACTGGACATAACAGAAGTTCCAGTGAGTTGGGTATACCATCTGGTCCAGACCCGACACATCCTTGAGGAAGACCTTACTGACACGTAAAAAAAAATAATTTTGGGCAGAGGTTATTTAGAAAACAATGAAAAATTGAATGTATCCATAAACAAAAGATGCTTACCTCAAATTATCCTCAATGTACTTGTGTATTGTCGTATTTAAACATCACTTGTGTTTCATCGAGTTTTAATGTTCTAATCCAAATTAGCACGTGTCGACGTATAATAGAATTCAAATCGCACAACCAACTAAACTGAACGCATCGCGACGCCGTGTAGACATATATTATCATATAACGGTGAAACATAAAAATAAGTTTTAAGGCGAAGTATTTGCTACGCTACCTAGAGTCTATTCAAAGCAGTGATCCTACTCGGAGAACGGCCTGTGACTATGACATTAATGTCTAAATTACGTACATTTGTGGTAATTTATTCGCAGAACTTTCGCTAACAGTGGAGGGAAACCCTTAGAAAACGCGTGAAGCCGAAACTCTCTTAGGAAGAGAGCCATGTCCAGCAGTGGACGTATCACGGATTGATTACGATAATTTACTTCCAATTACTTGCTAAAATGGTATACCTACTACAGAATTTAGTAACAGTAGAGGTCCTTGTGAAAGAGTTCGTCCAGGGAAGTATTGCCACCTTACCTATTTTTGTCGCCAAGCAGTGATATGAACATTACTGCGTTCCGGTTTAGAAGGGTGCTGATGAAATTACAGGCACATGGGACATGTGAACTTAAGTCTAAAGGTGACGAGCGCAGTGGCAGTGCCCATAAGATCTATGCGATTTAAAGCTGAGAGTGTCACTGCAACTGTCATGGATAGACGTGTCGCTCGGTATTATAAAGAAAAACAGTAAGTGTTTACGTACTTAGTAAACGTGATCTACGGGCAAGAATTCCAATTATGTTTAACTTCTTTTAGCTGACTTATCTTCAACATTGACATTGACCTGACCAGCTGCGCCAATTGTCATCAGGCTATACCATTTAAACAGGAGCTTTAAAACGCATAGTGAACAATTTCAGAACTTTTTTAGTTCTTTGGCACTACGTCCAGCTTTTGCATGTAGTACAGCCGAGCTGAAAGTGCCGTCCAGCAGAACTGACTGGTGAATAATAAAAATCCTAATCGCAAATTTAACATAGCTTGCCCTTAAATTACAAGCATATATGCATACTGATAGCCATTATGCTTATTTATCTTTTACTCGCGGCACTCGACTCACCTATGTAAAGATTTGTGAGTGTGTTTTTGCATTATGTATTTGTCATTGCTATTTTAGGTGTGCCAGTACATCATAGCTATCGGAAACTCAATCGTTGTCAATCGCCGCGAAGTCGATAAGAATAATTAGGTAACAAGTATTATTACTTATTTGCGAGTTGTGCTGTAATTGTAGTCTAAGTATAGACCAGTGTGTCTATGCACTGGATTACACGTCCAGTTTCAACGTTGCGATGTAACTACTTGTAATTTTTTTGGCGCGTGATCGTAGTATCAGTCACATGCATTTATTGTAAGGTTACGCTAAGCGCCTGCAAAAAAGATAAGAGCAATTATTCGTAATCCATTTATTGCTAAAGGATCGTTTTAAAGAAAAGTCAATATAATTATTTTATTATTTTATTGTAATTGTAACTATAAGATTAACATTGATTATCAATATAAAAATATTTTACACAGTTTAACGATTTAGCTACTTTTTGAAGAAATCCACTGGTTACGTTCTTTACGATGGTAAAGTGGGAAAAGTTCGACTTCGGTATGACTCCAAACCAGATTGAGGATGTTCCTTAAAAAGATCAAAACAAAAGTGACGAAGAATAAGGGCAGCGTTTACGTACATACAAGTGAACGACTGTGGAACTGTTTGGGGTTCATAGTCCTTGCATACCCTTTAGGGAGACAAGCATGATAGAATGTACATAACAGTATCGTGCTTTCAGCTGTTGCTACTACCACAATTTTAAAATGAAAGACTATGTTAAATATTTTTTCACAAGTTATCTTTTTGATGACTTACGTAGATATTATTATAGTTATGAATACAAATTCAAGACGAGATAATTATCATTTGACTTATGCTAGTCCGAAAGGAGCTTTTCGTAGCTGTTTACGTACTACACTACTACACAGAGTTGATAATATTAATAAGGTTCTCCTTTACTTAAAACGCGTATTTAGAATGTTTATTTACAGCTAATTTTCTAAATTCTCTTATCTACTTATAATCTATTCAAGTTACAGGTACAAAGGAACTGTGTCTGTACTATTTAACAAGTTAAAATTAAAACACGCACGGTATTTACATAATATCCGAGTTTCACTGCCAATGCATACGTATATCTATAATCATCATAATGGCATGGATCTATAACTCAAGAGCACAGCGCTGCGTAGTCGGGCATTTAGTACCTAGCAACACCAGATGTAGTGATGAGTACCAAAATAGCTATTTTTAATCGACTTTTTTTTGTATGTATGTTACACGATAAGTAAGTAATTTGTGAAACCGAATCGATAATTCTTATTTAGTTGAAAAGAGGGTGCCTTAGTAGTGGTCCTATTTAAATTTGAAGAAAATATTCCACCACTAACTAGGGGATGAATGACTTTTGAGGTCGGTTTTTTAATACTCTGTACTAAGATGATTGTAACTATGATTTGTTTTACATTGACAAGCTGCAATTTATGAAAGCTACTCTAATTTGTAGTGATAACAAACTAATCAACTAGATGGCGCTTATTGCACACATTGTAATGGATAGTGTCGGCTATTCATTTATTTTATTTAGAATTAGCGCCATCTACTCATATTAGGAAGCATTAATTTACAAATTAGTTTGCAATACACAATGCTAACTCTATTGACATGAAATTTGTCAAAGTGACGGGGCGAACAAGTCGTACGCTACACGCCTTTTTTTTTTTGTCCATATCAGTTGCAGTGCCACTAAGAACTTAAAATCTGAAAGAATTGATGGGCACTGCCATTGCTCCCGTCACCCTGAGACATAAGAGACGCAAAGATCTAAGAGAGACATCAGTTGACAATCTCACTTGCCTGTAATTTCACCAGCACCTTTACCCTACAAAATCGGAACACAGTAATTCTGACATTACTGCTTGGCGGCAGAAATAGGTAAGGTGGCAGTACTTCCCAGGACGAACTATTTCACAAGGAGCTCTACTGCTTCTAGAACTACTTTTTTTTATTATAAACACGATTACAATAAGATCAAAAACGATTTAAATTGAACTAACTTTTCGAACCCGATGCTTACACTGTCTTTGAGGAGAGGTTTTGCCTTCCTATGCCTGTTCTATCGCTTGTACAATGGCCAATGTTCTGAAGAACTGTTTGACATGATGCCAACGGCAACATTTTATCATCGCACCGCTCGCCACCGGAGGAAGTCCATCCTCACACTCTGGAACCGAGTCGATCTCGTACTGTACGGTTTCAAAGAAGCTTTCTCCCATGCATTAGGTTGTGGAATGTCGGGGTTTTCCCGCAGGAATAAGCATGAACTCCTTCAAAAGGGGTTTGAGTAGGGTCCTAAAGGGTCGGCAACGCGCTCGTGACGTCCGTTGCAGGCATTCATAGGCGACGGTAACGTGTTTGCTGCCTAGATAATATTTAAAAAAAACTTATTTAGCTTCCAGGGAGCTAAGTATCTATATAAGTGTGTAGTTTCAAATATTAGGTAGGTACGTAACAATGTTAGGTATGTTTGAGTTTAATTGCGTCTTATGAGTTGCGGGCTAAGACTTAATTTACATTGATGTGGGACGGGTTTTTGTAACCATATTGAATTTTGAAATCTACAAACTAGATATGACCTAACATTTTTTGCGGAATTTTCGCAGCTATCGAACGAATCGTATCTAGTTTGTACGTTACACAACTGACATATTCATTATGCTATGTACAATTTCGTTACAAAAATTCACTACCATTAAATAGAACGTAATATTTCTCTGCTGTATTGTTTAGATTTGTTTAATATAAACTCTAGCCTCGAGATGGGGTGCAGGGGGTTGCGGTGCATAGTCAAGATCACTGTATAAGACGCTGTACATTTGCTTGTAGCCGAGGCGCTCGGCCGCGGCGGCGGAGAACGCTGAAGTCGTGTCCATGCGCAGGGCAGAAGCACCCACGGCCTTTGCTATGCGTCTGCAAGGGAAACATTCGGATACATATAATATAAAGAAAATGTAATTTATTTATGGAAAATAGTGTCATGCATAACGTTAATGCGAGCAAATCATAACTTTTTATCAAAAAACGATTTCAAAAATAAGTGGAACCATCAGTTTGCAATAACGAAAAGTGGGTGAAATTTATCACCCTTAGAGGTGGAATATTTTCTTCAAATTTGAATAGGACCACTATTGACGTATTACCTTTCTAAAAAAAATGTCATCGAAATTGGTTCACAAATGTCCGAGAAATCATCACCACACACAAAAAATTCAATCGAATTGAAAATCTCCTCCTTTTTTTGAAGTTGGTTAAAAATATAACGGTTTAGTCTTGATTTTTTTTGTCACTTTTAGTGAAATTACAGGCACATGGGACTTTTCAACTTATGTCTCAGGGTGACGGACGCAATGATGGACCATCAGATCTTTGCGATTTAAAGCTCTGATGGTACAGCAACTGCTATGGACAAACGTGTCGCTAACCAGCAGGCGCACGAATTGTGCGTCCCGTCACTTTGTATCATAAAAAAAACCTTTATGTGTTTATTTATTTATAAGATGTATAAAACAGTTTGCATTGACTCCCTAACAAAAGTTTAAACATTATTACTAGTTTCTACTCTAGAATGTAAACCTAAACAAATACATACAGCATGACCAATCATAAGTAAACAATTTTGTTACAATGTATTAATAAAACGTACTTGGGCATAATAAAACTGTAACCTTAAATAAAATAGAATTACAAGGACTATAGCTATGAAAGAGAGAAACTGTGGTGCTTGTGGATTCGATTACGAAGCCTTTTAAAATTACTGTCAAATATAACAATATCTAGATCAGCGCCAAGATCAGCCATAAGGTCATTGAAGGCACAACACATTCTCATCAAAGGGTTGTAAAAAGAAGTATTATTAGTATACACGTTCAATACGAATGGTCTAGGAGGCGTCGGGGATTGCACTTGATGTTAACGTTGAAGAGGTTGTAAACCGCTAATATGCCGTGACCAGGTTCACAAGAAGAAAGGTTAGAAAGAAAAAAAACAGGCTGTAACCAGAAAAGGGTATAAAAAAACAGGTACAACGCTACAAAACACTCCCTACTTAACTACGTACTACGTACAAAAAGCGTAAGACAGATTTACCCCGAAAGGGCCGAGTTGTACAATATTAATAGATTGGTATTAAAATTTGCACATGATTTAGGTTAGGAACAGGTAAAAGGATTAAAATTAGACGAGAAGCACTACTCAATTCAGCGACTGAGCAGAGAATGACGACGGAACGAAACAAAATGAGAATGACGAGGCAAAGGAATTGAAGAACGATTCAAAATTTGAAATTTGAATTGAAATTTGGCCAGGAACTAAAGAAAAGGTGATAAAAAGGTATGATGACGATGGAAGGAGGTTGCATCGTCACAAAGTTAAATGTTTTACTCTTGAAATGTAGAGTTAAGTTTACATTTATGTATAGATCAATATCGATGTTGATTATGCAGCAGTACAGGAATGGAATCATGAGATCTATTAGTTACAAGTTAAGGACAATGCTAATTATGCTATGTTCAGTTCGCGATGCCAAATTGCCAAGGACAGTTCACGCTTATTAAATATCTAACAAAAAAATGTTGTTTCATTTAAAACATGACAGAGGTATTAAATTTCTTCCGGGTCAAGGAGCGACGGTAATATGGGCCAGAAATAGCATTAAAATTACTACTAAGCAGTTTTTGTTTGTTACAATTATGCGACTATAGACGGGTAATTGGGGCGACTGAATTCAAGACATTGGATCATGTAAGAGTTAATTGGAGAGCTTTTACCGTGTGACAACAGTCTTAGCTTCACCTTACACAAATTATTACCAGAAATCGGAAGAATATTCCATTTATGTAAATTTCTAGTAACATGCAATGGATAATACGTCCATGTGAAATACCGGAATTAGTAAAATAAACAACTTTTTCACCTCACTAGCTCGGGAAGGCTTTCTTTCTCATTAGAAATCTGCGCGCAAAAGTGCTTTTTGCACGCTAGCGTGGAAAAGGTTTTTGAAATTCGAACTTGACGATGGACTGTGTGTGGTGCACCTAACTTTTTCCTTCGATGAAAAAAAAATCATAATCACACGTTCAACTACGTGATTTGTTGTAATTTAGATCTGTAATTTAAGAGATAAGTAATTTAGATCCGTTGGTATATTTTATTCTTATTATGGTCGATATTAAATTGAGCACGAAAACTAAAATCGCATATTAAATTATTTTAAATCGACGAAGAACTAAAATAATTTCAATAATCTCACAAAATTATAAGTACAAGCAAGAATAAAAAATGATGAGATGCAAATTCAGAACGCATCCGAAGATAAACTTTTGTTTTATTAATAGAGTTCAAACTAAGAGTAATAGTGCTCCTTGTGAAAGAGTTCATATATTCACTTTATTCATGAATAATTTACTTACTTAATATATATACTAAATACAACAACGAAATGGGATTGGGTAAATACCTACGTAAGTGTTAAGCGAGTTGTGGAGATATCTGAAAACATTCATACAGCCGAACGTATAACCTCCTCCTTTTTCTTTGAAGTTGGTTAAAAATAGTAATGTTAAGTACTTTATAAGTTAAAGAAAACTTATATTTCACAATTGTTCTCTATGCACTTACAAGGTTATCTGTCACGTAGAGAAGCATTCCATGTAACATAAGTTAACGATAAATTACTAAACGTCGACGAGAAGTCACTACATATAAATTGTCCGTTCCTCCTAACCTCTATGTCCGATCATATAGAATACGAGTGTGCCGTACTTTGCGCTGCATTGAACTAATTAGCTGAATTGTGTAATACACATGCAATATGATGCTATAACACATCGTCTTAAACTATGTCAACAAGTTGTTTATATTCTAATTCTATGCTGTATGCGCAACGAAGAACCCGGGTATTGAACACGAATGTTTGAATAGTACTGTGACATAAATTGGGCCACATCTGCAAAATGATAAGTTTTCAGTAAGAGGTTTATTTATATTCGAACAAACGAAATTTATCGATAACTTTTTAATGCTTAAAGAGGAGAGTTATGAGAAGTATCACATTATGCATAATTTGTTTATTTTTATCAAGTTACGGGACGAACAAGTCGTGCGCCTGCAAGCTACACGCCTCTCTATAGCGGTTGCAGTGCCACTCAGAAGTTTCAAATCACAAAGATCTGAGGGGCACTGCCATTGCGCCCGTCACCCTGAGACATAAGTCGACAAGTCCCATGTGCCTGTAATTACATTGTGTTACGTTAGGGCACGTTAGGGACAGGCGTGTCGCTTACCACCGGGTACACGCCTTATTCGTCCCGTCACTTAGTGTTATAATAATAAAATTACCTTTTCTCCTCGAAGTAGATCGAGTTAGAGACCTTAGCCTTTCACTTGCTATGTTCATGACACTCATCCTTCGTTCACCAACATGCATAATGCTTTCATAAATGCTCGTCGGTTAAACGTCTGTTGATTCTTTTTTTTTTTTTTTTATTATTTCAGTATTCTTGAACTACCTACATTTATTTATGTTTTAATGCACATCCTAATAACAACTTCGGTGGCCCAGCGGTTAGCAATGTGAGCGTTAAATAAGTAGTTTCCGGTTTGGATTCCCGGTAGCACCAATTTGGGAAACTTTACTAAGTTCGTTGTAGTCTCGATGTTCTGAGTAGCGTCTTGGAAGGAATACCATCGCTCTGGTTTTCTTATGATCGTGCTTCAACCACGACAGATGCAGTGCCCATCAGAGCCTTAAATCGCAAACATCTGAGGAGCACTGCCATTGCACCCGTCACCTTGAGACATAAGTTGGTAAATCCCATATGACTGTAATTTTACCAGCGTAGAAAGCAGCAATTTCCTTTACTGCTTAGCGGCAGAAATAAGTATTGTACTTCCCTGAACGAACTCTTTCATAAGAACTTCTTTCAACTGGAGTACATAGTACAGAGAATTGCCTATTTTGAGATTAGGAGATTGAGATTGCAACCAATGTTGCTAAGTAATTTAATGTTACTAACTATTAAAATCTTCTAATAAAAGAAAAATAACAAGTGAACAGCAAAACACATTGAACGTAATCTGCAAAAGAATAAATTGTCCGCTCAATCTCATTACTGTCACGTTAACAACTCCTTTGTCAAGTCACGATGGAGACGTAGTCTTATAGGTAACATCAACGTTGTTCTATTGTTTTCATGTTTTAATGGCGGACAGCTTAGTTAGAACGCTGTTAGGTGAAGGAATGAAAAAAAAACTTATATCTCCTTGAAGACACCATGATTTATAAGTAGTTTTAGTAAAAAATATTCCACTAGTGAGTGGTTAAGCCGTTAAAAAAATCAATACGTGGGGCATACTACGAAAATTCCTGAAACTGGCCACTTGTAAAAGAAACCAAAAAAAAAAAAACAAGTACGAAATTTGAAAAAGGAACCCACTGTGAGTGTTTTACTTTAAGAGACTGTCATTTATTTTTCCATTGTGGCGGCGTTTTCAAAACTGTAAGGCGTTATTACAAAGAATTTCAGTTGTGTCCATGATTTTGTACGATTTTCGATTGGGCTTAAGACAACAAGAGAGTTGTCAGAGACTTCAATTGGCATTTGGCGATGAAGCCCTATGTCGTAGCTCCGTGTATTCGTGGTTCACTGAATTTAGTTGTGGACGTGATCATCTCCATGACGATGTACGTGAAGGTCGGCCGGCGACTGCGGTTAATATTGATACCGTACGACAACTGATTAAGACTGTCAAAGAAATTACTTGTCAGCAAATTCATACGGTATTCGGCAATGTCGGCACTGGAATGAGCCAGGTGCAAAAGCATGTTAGTTAGTAGGTCAATGCATGTACATCTGAATGGTCGGAAATTTTGCACTCGGTGGATACTGAATGATTTAACGGAATGCCAGAAG